CATGGTCTCTGGACTGAAGCACATGTTGTCGGAAAATTAGGCCATGTCATGTACGAGGTAGAGGTAGGAAGGGACAGGTGGACTCGACATCGGAACCAGCTACGCAAGCGGTTAGCTCCAGTTCACCCATCGCCAGAAGGGAATCTCCCTTTTGACATCCTATTAGATACCTTTAGTCTACCCGCACTCCCGATACAGGAAGAAGCACATCGACAGGTCGATCTACGACTTAGATGGTGGTCACTCCGACAACGACAACAAACGATCAAAATGCAAGTGGACCCCAGAAACGTACGTCATTAAAAGGGGGAGGTGCTGGGGATGTTAGATCTTCAGAACTCATTTGGTAAATGCCTTAATTTCATAATTTTATTTTGAAGATTTAAATTTCCTTGTTTTCGCGCCAAAAGTGCTCTTTTCACCTTCATGTCGTATTTCCCACTTGGGAGAATCTTTAAAGCTATTGGTCCGTTGTGTATTTTTAGTATGCTATTTTTGCTACGCTTCCCAAGGACAGTTTTATGCTGTATACATACGTTTGATTTGTGTCTGTTATTATTCACTCGTGCTTCTGGCTTACGGAATGTACTTTCTCGTTCCAAGTTAGGACTTCCTCCTCTAGTTAGCGGGGCTGGGACGCATCAAATAGCCAGCTTATTGGTCTACGGTCACAAGTCTTTGTTCTGTTCGAAGATTAAGTGAACTCGTGATAGCTCCAACTCCAGCAATATGTAGCTGACTCCACAATAGTATTCAAAAGGTAGATACATTCGATCTTTTTCTTATTGAATTTCATTGGATATCCATTCTCAATAAGCAGGTTAGTCAAATCATCTATAATGGTGTTATCACAGCAAATCATTTTACCAATCAGAAATAAATGAAAAGATCCTGAATCATCGTGCCATAATGATTTAACACACGACATCAGGTTGTATTGACTAAAGTCTGTATGGTTATCCACCATATTCCATCAAATCCACCATATGGTTTTTAACTTCATCTTTTGCATATTGTTGAACCTTTCGGAATCCCTGTTCACGAACTTAACGTTTGCATTCAAAAGAAGTTTGTACAACTACACTCTCTATTTTGGTTATCAATATAAGAGTGATTTTCACCTGAACACTAATCAAACAAACACATTCACAATATTCATCTCTTAATTCTTGCTTAACTACCATAATACTGACCCTCTATTAAAATATTCTGTTAATTCTTTTTTAATATTATGTAATGTACTAAGGGTTTAATTGAATTCTACGTTGATTATCATAATCTCCTTTTTTCCCAGTAAATCGATATCATTTTATGGTTACTGTGACACTATATAATTATTGCGTAATGTAACTGCTCGAAGGGTATTGTTTATATTGTTGGAAACCATATCGATATATATATTAGTGTAGAGATATGATATGTAATTCATAGGCATGTAGGCAGTGAATAACTAGTGGTAAATCGATGTTGTTATGGTATAGTATAGATTAGAGAAACTCAAAGTAATTTCAAAATCTAATACTTCACGGCAGTTCGTTCTGTTTTACTTTAGGGCTGCGAAACGTGGCCACTAAGAGAAGATATCCGTAAGCTATTAATATTTGACCACAGATGTCTTAAAAATATTGCTCGCATCTGCTGAGATCACCGGGTAATTAACAGTGAGGTTAGACGCAGGGTATTAGAAAATGATGGTAAATCAGTTGATGAGGTTATGAATCTTCATCGACTGAGATGGTTAGACCACGTGTTGCGTAGTCCTGAACACCGATTACCACGACGCGCAATGCTGACTAGTTTTGGAGACTGTTGGAAGAAAACATCAGTCCAAAAAGTCACTAACTTCTAATCTAATCCATGTTGGTAGATGTAGACTACTTGATTGGGGTCCGCCTGGCTATGGTAACCAATGCTTGGAGACTGGGTGACACTACTCAGGATCGATCACAATGGCGTCGATGTACACACTCTTTGTCTTCCCTTATACCATGAGATTAAAATTGCTTTATACATTCCTGTCTCCGAACTAATTCTTTCTTCATGTATTATATCCTTATACACAATCTTTCTTTTATATATTACTACTATTGAAGTAACTACTATGAATTTGGTGTTCATGTAGTTGTACTAATGAAGTGTAGCAACTTGGACCAGTGCATATATGTACCTGATCCTACGTTGCAGCTGACTGACTAAATAAATGATGTAACAAATAAATGCGACATTCAAAGAATGGTTTTTTTGGTAAATCAATCATAACATATAGCCTCAAGTAAACTTTCGTTAACCCGAATTGCTATACCACTATGGAATAAACATTAAAGAAATCACAATAATTGTAGTGGTAATGATAGTAGAAGAATCTAAACATCTGAAATTTATTTCAAGAATTAAGAATGCTAGAACTCAAAATTTAATGGATAACAAATGAATTTTTCTACTCCATTGTGATTCATTCTTCGTTACGTCAGTGTTCATATCCAACTATCATATACGATATTTACACGGACCCTTACCTTACTACTATATCTTGGTTTGTTAATATAGATATTTCCCGATTTAGTTCTGTATTTCTACATTGGGTTGAATAAACTTACTAGTAAGTTTACTATACCCCTTGAACTAATCAGCATAAAACATTCAAATGTCTTTTCCATTATCCTTTCAGATTTAGAAAAGTTTACATATGAAAAGTTGTTCTGTTCAGAAAATAAAGAGATTTTGCAATAACATAAAGTGTCACGTTTCTAGTATTTTGACACATTGTTGAAACATTTACCATTGGAATGCAGCAAATATATTTTGTTTTCAATGCAATAAATTCTATTTATCATAAAACATTAACCTAGTGATTAAATTATTCAACATTCAGCCATTAGGGTTCCAGTTTGAACCTCGGTTAATATCAATAATTTTCATTGGGAAAAATATGTTCTAAAGTTCAGTTTATAATTCTTACTTACTTACACCTATTACTCCCAATGGAGTATAGGCCGCCGACCATCATTCTCCAACCCACTCTGTCCTCGGACTTCCCTTCTAGTTCTATCCAATTTTTGTTCATTCTTCTCATGTTTGTCTATCTCCATTTCTCGGCGTAATGTGTTCTTTGATCTTGAAAATCTCAAGGTGAGGGCTTGCTTTGTGACGCAGTTGGGTGCTACCCTCAATGTGTTTATCCTATCCACTTCCAGTGCCTCTTCCTGATTTCTTCCTCCAATGGGATCTGGTTTGTTCCCTCCCACAGTAGGTTGTTGCTGATAGTGTCTGACAAACAGATCCGAAGTATTTTGCATAGACAAACTGTTAATAAACACCTGTATCTTCTGGATGAAGACTTTCGTAGTTCTCTTGGTTTCCACCCCATACAGTAGAATTGTCTTGACATTTTTATTGAAAATCCTGACCTTCGTGTTGGTTGACAATTGTTTTGAGTTCCGGATATTCTTCAGTTGTAAATATACTGCTCTTGCTTTGCCGATCCGCGCGTTCACATCTGCATCAGATCCTCCGTGTTCATCAATGATGCTGCCCAGATATGTAAAGGCTTTTCCATCTTCCAAATCTTCTTCGTCAATTGTGATTGAATTGGTGCATGTTGTGTTGTATCGGAGAATCTTGCTTTTCCCTTTGTGTATATTGAGACCTACTGCTGCTGAGGCTGCTGTTACACTAGTCGTCTTCTTCTGCACTTGTTGTTGCGTTTGCGATAGAAGAGCCAGATCATCTGCGAAGTCTAGATCGTCTAGCTGCATCCTAGATGTCCACTGTATCTCATTCTTCTCCGCAGGTGTCGACGTCTTCATAATCTAGTCGATCACCAGGAGAAAGAGAAAGGGTGAAAGTAAGCAACCTTGCCTGACACCGATCTTTACCTCGAACGACTTTGTCAACTGTCTTCCATGCACGATTTTGCAGTTTAATCCATCATAGGAATTCTGTATGATATTGACTATCTTCTGAGGCACGCCGTAGTGTCGAAGAAGCTCCCATAATGTTGTTCTGTCCACGCTATCAAATGCTTTTTTGTAGTCAATGAAGTTGATGTAGAGTGATGAATTCCATTCAATTGATTGTTCCACAATGATCCGTAGAGTTGTGATTTGGTCTGTACACGATCGATCCTTACGGAATCCTGTCTGTTGGTCTCGAAGTTGGACGTATACGGAATCCTTCATTCTGTTTAACAATACCCTGTTGAAGATGTCTCCTGGTATTGAGAGAAGAGTGATGCCCCTGTAGTTATCACAGTTGCTGAGATCGCCTTTCTTTGGTATTTTGACCAGAAGTCCTTCTTTCCAGTCTTTTAGTACTTGTTCTTCATCCCAAATCTTATTGAAGAGAATGTGGAGTATCCTTGCAGTTACTACTACGTCTGCTTTTAGTGCATCTGATGGAATGTTGTCTGGTCCTGCTGCCTTGGTCCATGGGATTCCCATTCTATAAGTGCATTTTGTGCTTGTTTGGATAGCATGAATGCAACTCCTTTGTGTATATGGGGCCGGAGTATAACAGAAGCTCCCCTGAATCTAGTCGTTGTTGTTCAACCTGTTTCTAATGTGTTTCTTTAATTTCAAGCACCTCCCACATTGTACGAGCTTCCCATGTACCTAAATTAATAGTTGCTCTGATTGTCAGAAGGGGCGTTAGCCTCGTGACTTCCGAAGGAACTCGGGTTTCACCATGAGGCGTGATAACTCTTCTAAATGGAGACTTTCTTACTCGCAGGGAAGAGTTTGGGTGGTTTGAATTGTTTTTCCTGGTTATCGTTTTAGATTTCTGCGGGATGGGGTCTCTAACCCCATGCTCAACCCTCCTCCTTTATCCGGGCTTGGGACCGGCAGTAGCCCCCAGAGGGGCTCCAGGCGGAGTAAGTAATTACCCAAGTCATCTGAAATTTTAATCACAAAAGATAGTTGATTTTATTCAACCTAAGCCTAAAACAAGTATCAATCATTATTCTACATTAAATTTTCATTCTGTTCTTATTGTTAATTTAGGAATTTTATACATTAAAATGGAATAGTAAAGAAAAACTACAATATGCTCCAAATATTGTTGCTTCTACAAGATGGTTTAATCAAGTTAGTTAGTTTTTACTATTTGTTTATTGTTCTTTAAAAGATGCATTCTTTTTTACTGTTTAACTGATTCACATCAGAACGATTTCTTATAAGTTTGTAATGTTGTTGTTGTGTTTGTGTTTGAAGTAACATCAACTGCTTACCAAAATATCTTTTATTTGGGGGGCTCTGGATGTGGCCCCCTAAAAAACCACTTGCTTCGGTTTGGGCACCCCGGGCAGTATTATCCCAGCCCTCACGCATATCATTTATGTGTTTATATAAATGAATAAATACCAAAATATTTTATATTAGTGCTACTGTTCTAACTTTCTATCTTCTACTAGACCCGAAATGCCCTGATATGGCCGAGAGTGGGGAGAGTCAGCTCTCCCTCGAAAAATGCTCTCACATAGCCACGTGCACACAACCACTGCCAGGGAACTCTTATCCACTGCCTTCTCGCGGCATCTCTGTTTTTCACGAAATTGAGAGGACGAAAAACGAACCTCCTGCGCTTTAACCAGTTTGATGGACATCGAGAGTCCACCTGGGTGAATTGGGAAACTTTGATTCCAAACCAATGGTCCACACGGGTTGGCTCCAGTATCCTGATGGAACAAATGATGTATGAACCAATTATTGGTCACCGGCTACCATGGGACTACATCTCCTTACGTTGTTCCATTGCGTTGTGGATTAGACCTTTAGGTTGAAGGCTCCGGGTGTGGCCCTCTAAGGAAATGCATTTGCTTCTGCCTTAACACCCGGATAGTATCTCAGCCCTCACACAAATCGAATGATTTATGTGGCGTATATATGTATTTGTTGCCTCCTACCAACTTTGATGTGTTTCTAACTTTCTGTCTTCTAATATGGTTGATAAATTCAAATGCATGATACTTATGTTTACTTCTAGTAATTAGGCAAAAATAGCCTTAAATCTTAATGTTAACAATATAAGTGAGACTCATAAAAAAAACATATGTTAATAGAGAGAGAGAGATAAATACAGTCCCAACTATGAAACATCTTTCAGTTATAACTAATGTGTTGGGACATGCGAGATCAGTACAGAGAAATAAAATTAGCAAGATATGTACTAAAGAATTCAAAGTAATGGTAAAGTCAATAGTAGTGAGAAAAATTAAATAATAAAAAGTTGTGTACCTGTAATGGAATCCTGAAACTCACCATATGGTGTAGGATAAAATGTGTACACAGCCTAGCCTTGATCCATCATCTCTAACTACTGGTTGCAGTTATCATCATGCGGACTATAACCGGTTACTTTGCACCTACCAATACAGCCTAGTTCAACAGTCAGTGATTTTATGGATTAGCTAGCGGCATGTCTTGATTTGGACGCTTTCATAGCTTTCCTTTAATGCACTATTATCCCAGTCAAAGTTGCGCATTGAAATAGGCTATGGTTAGGTATATGTAGTCTATATCTCAACCACCTAAGTTATTAATAGTTCACACTTTCAAACAATTTATCCAAATACCTTAGCATCGCTCTCAAACATTGTAACTAGTGATAATTCCTTATTTATGATTTTACCATAAGGTAACGTTTATATTATTTAATCAAACAGTCATCTCACCGCCAACTTTATATATATATCAGGTATGAAGTTAATGTAGTTGTAAGGCTTCATTAATTGTGCTCATTAAGGTACCTGGTTATCACCATTACTTAACATTTTCAGTAGTTATTTAACTTTTTTAGACTTTTTCTAAAAGTTATTTTTCGAGGTTTCAATAAAATGTTTCTATGCCATATAACTAAATCGATAATAACCATCAATATAATGTCTCTTTGTTAATCTATAATATATGATTAAACTATATAATTCTATTTGACCTTTATAATATAACTAAGAGGATTTAGCTTAATATTTATTACAGAAAATATTAATTTTCCTTATCTATCACTATGACAACTAGAGATTTCTTTTCTTTCTTTTTTTCTAAAACAACAAAGAGATATAATCTTCTTTATCTTTTCGAACGAACTTTAAATTCCTGTTCTTTATCATTGATGTTTCTTCTCTCCCCCGCTCTCTCTCCTACACATTGTTTATTGCTTGTTCATTATCATACTTGTTATTACTTTATTTGTCGCCCCCAAATGCCCTGGTACGGCCGAGAGTGGGGAGAGCCCGCTCTTCCTCTCGAAATGCTCTCATATGGCCACGCGTATGTAGCCTCTGCCAGGGAAGTCCTACTCATTGCCTTCTCGTGGCGGGGGTGTTGTTTACGAAATTGAGAGGACGAAAAGCCAACATCCGGCGCTTTAACCGGGTTGGTGGATATGGAGTGTCCACCCAGGGGATTTGGAAAATCCTGATTCCAAAACAATGGTGCACATGGGCTGGCTCCATTATCCGGCGTGAACAAATGGCATGTGGACCAATCGTTGGTCACCGGCTTCCATGGGACTGCATCTCCTTACGATGGTCCACTGCCTTGTGGATCGAAGGCTTCGGGTGTGGCCCCCCGAGGAAGCCACCTGCTTCGGTTTGGGCACCCGGGCAGTATCACAGACTTCACACATATGAAATGAGATTTGTGTGGCGCATATGTATCTGGTGCCTCTTTGTACCAATATCTATGTGTTAAAATAAAATAAAAAATTTATTTGTCGCTCAATTTCATGAATTCGTTGAGGTTAGACATTAACACCGTTGGATGCCAGTCAGCTCAGTGGTCTCATGGTTAATCGTTCGCGTGCGAGACTGTTAGGTCCTGGGTACAAATCTCGCGAGGCGGGATCGTAGATGCGCACTGCCACTGAGGAGTCCCACAATAGGAGGAAATGGCCATCGAGTGCTTCCAGATTTTCTATAGTGGTCTAGCTTCAATTGAGTCATGATCTCAACCATTGAAATTACTATAATATCTATAAAAAGCCTTCTGATATAAAATCTATCTATCCATTTTTAGATCATATTCTGGGTTCAAAAAGATATATTAAATGAGAAAAGTTTATCGAAGCGAACAGAAATATTATCACATTTTATACGAATAGCAAAGGTTAGTGTATATACCTACTATTTTTCTTTTGATTATTAATTTATATTTTGAATTGAGGTCTATGCTATTCCTTGTATGTCTGTAAAGCCAGTAGTCAGATTTATGGTTAGTTTGTAAGTAGTAGTCCACAATGTCAGTATGACAGTTAATTGCAAACTTCGTCTAGTGATCACTAAGTTGCCACTACTCGTTTGTCTATAGAGTCAGTAATGTCTTTGTACATAATCTCACTACAATTAAATGTGACAACATACAACTATCTCTATTGTTGGTAATATACATTGAAGTTAAGCAGTACTATTCAATTCTATCATTCTCACATAACTAACTTTGTTGTCGAGATTATTCTCAAAATACTTGTGATATAAATTTACTGTAGTTTTAAATCGATTGCCCGGAAAACAACTATTCCACTTTTGACTCTCATAAGATTTGTTCTTACCGAATAATAACACAAACATTACTGAAATTACAATCACAAGTGTCCTGAAATTATTACCTCATCAAAGTATAAAGTACTCATACAATACCCGTAGGAAGATATATTACCATTCCTGACAAACCGTTGGTAATAGTTGCGAAGTTCTTGTATCTTCCTAGGTACTAGTAGTAGAGCAGATAAAATCACTGTACCTTATAGACATGCCTAGTTGAAATGCACTGATCGGGGATCGACTTTAATATCACCGCAGTAGTAAAAAACCTAGTGTACGGCCTATCGATCAAAACAAGTTCGATATACACTTGTGAAACAGTTTTAAGGATTGACATCAATGAGTTGCTCATATCTGTTACTGCTAACAAATAGTTAACTTAATCGATAACATTCAGTCATCTCTAAAAAGATTAGATAAACATGACATTAATCACTACTTATTGATCAATCACTTGTACATATTGTCATCCAATGGTTTGCATTTTTAACTTGAGTTCATTCGTTATATTGTAAAACTATCTACCGAAATTGAATAGTCTCTATAAACCTTTTTTCATTCACGACTTATCTCGAAAAGAATTCCTAAAGTTTTATTGAGAAGTTGGTGACCGCATCATGGCCCGGTCACGTTGTTATAAGTGAAATAAATGACACTGAGATTTGATCATCTAGTGTTGTGAAATAAACTGAAGTTAGAAATGTGGGATTATTAAATCCCTGATTGGTAATTTAAAAGTAACGCATACTTGACCATGAAACCTGAAGATCCTAATTTCCACATCTCGAAAGGTTTACACATAAGCGTTCATGATGATTATCGATCTAGGCTGAAATAATATTCAAAATAAATTTCAATGCTCTATTTGTCTAATTCAGCACATTATAAAAAACAAAATAGGGAAACTAAATAATCTCGAATATGGCGGGTTCTTTAGTTAACAACGAAATCGTATTTTATATTGTCATCCCCAATGAAAGTCCTGTTTGATAAAAATATAGTCTTCTGATCGCCATGAGCTACAATACAAGCATGTTTAGAATGTGTTTATACTTCTCTAAATGGAAAACATTTCTTCATAACTGGTCTACGTTAACGCATGAAGTAATAAATTGCGTCGACCACTTTACTTATTTTGGAAGTCATATCAATCTGTGAGTTAATGTCTGGCTAAACCTTGGCACCAATTCAAAATACTCAGTCGGTATTTTTCAACGCACATCCCTTTTGGTTCAGTCGACATATCCGTCTACTAGCCAAAGGGCAGGTTTATTGCACAACGATTTACTCCATTGTACTCTATGGCTGTAAAATCTAATGTTTTAAAAGAGATTATATCCATAGTTTACTAGTGTTCGATTATAAATGTCTTTTTACCACCAAATTAGCAATACTAGCGGTGGATTCACTGTATTAGGTAAAGATAACAAAATATTTATCATCTAAGGTCGATGGGACATGTGTAACGTAAACCTAGCCACCAATTACGTGGACAGGCGTTGTTGTCTAGTGTAGGAGTAGGCTGGAAGAAAGTTAGAGATGTCCAAATCAAGTCATGGCATTAATTCATAAAGGTACTGACTATTGGTCTTACCCATGTATATAGGTGTAGATTATCTGGTTAAAGTCCGTTCTATCAGCATAATTAGCAGTTGACATGGCTCACAATCATTTAGTGATCCAGATGCATTCACTCTTTGTCTTGCCTTCAATCCTATGTTGTTGTTTTTTAATTATCCTAAAAATTATTCCCATCTAACAAGTTCGTTTTTTAGGGTTAGAATCTTTTCCTCTATTACTGATTCTGTTAATGGTGATATTATGGCATTTCATTGTACTGACGTAGTATACCAACTTGAATCAATGTATATTTGTCAACGACAGTGGATAATCATCACGATGTATTTCAAATTGATTAAAGTTGGAATTATATTATTAGTCAAGCGTTCACCTTCAGACATGAAGGTTCTATGTTCGATCTCCGATGTGTTTGTGAATACTAAAGAGTCTATGATTAGTCTATGACTAAAACACCCTACAAATTCAATCAATCTTCACAAGATCACTTCAGTCTCATTCTGTTACATAATTATTCAAATTACTAATCTTGTTATTATTGTCATAAATAAAATTATATTGGCTATTTTTATATTTTCTCTCACTTAAACATACACACACACACACATCTACTCATTACTTTATACAGAAACTAGTTGATTTAAATAATTTCTCATCAGGAATGGCTATTGTATCTGCTTTACATATGCAATGTATTCATCGACTAAATGCTACATGGTCTAATTTATCTTCACGTGATCGTCATATATTTCGAAAATTGTCAGATTTGTTTTCTCAAGAAGAAAATTTTGTTAATCTTCGTTCAGCTGTAGATAATTCACGTCTTCCATGTATACCATATTTAGGTAAGTTTTAATTGTTGTTAAGTGTTTATAATAGATAACATTAATCAATAATCAGGATTAGACTTTGATGACATAAATATTGGTGTGATACTATCCGGGTGCCTAGACCACCGAAGCAGGTGGTTTTCTTAGGGGGTCACACCCGGAGCCTTCGACCTAAAGGTCTAATCCACAAGGTATTGAAGCAACGTCGGGAGATGTAGTCCCATGGTAGCCGGTGCCCAATAATTGGTTCGTACGCCATTCGTTACCTCAGGATACTGGAGCCAACCCATGTGGACCATTGGTTTAAAATCAGGGTTTTCCAAATCCCCTAGATGGATCCCCCATATCCACCAACTCGGTTAAAGCATCGGACATTCGCTTTTCGTCCTCTCAATTTCGTAAACAGCACCCAGGCTAACAATAAGTAATGAGTAGAACTTCCCTGGCAATAGTTGGCTGTGTACACGTGGCCTTGTGTGAGAGCATTAGGAGAGGGAGAGCTAGATCTCCCCACCCTCGGGGGCATCATTGGACTAAATTTTTAAAAAATGAGTCCATTTTGATAAATTTGATTATTAGAACTATGTGATGTATATTAGTGTAATACATTGCGAACAATCTAATCACATATGTACTTGTTCAAAAATAGTTTGTTCTCACTCGTAAACCTACCCTGGTAATGTTAGCTTATTATCCAGATTGATGAGGTATTACATTATTTTTCATATCATTTTATTTATTATCTCATTTCTCTTCTCATCCTCCATTTTTTAGTCTAGTTGACCTTTTATTTTTATATGTAAATGTTTTAACAAGTATATGTGTGATCAGATTGTTCGAAATGTATTACAATAATCTATTAGCTCATAGTTCTGATAAACTTCATCTTCTTATTGCACTATTCAAATAGACTAATTAGTATGTTTAGTTAAAACTATTGACAATGCTTAATAGATATATATTCAGAAGGGTTTTTGTGAATGTTATAGTAATTTCAATGGTTGAGATCATGAGTCAGCTGAAGCTAAACCACTATGGAAAACCTGGAACCACTAGACGACTGTGTGAAGTTAAACATTAACACTGTTAGATACTGGCTCAGTGGTCTAGTCGTTAAACGCTCGAGCGCGAGACCGATAGGTCCTGGTTTGGAATCTCGTGAGACAGGGTCGTGGGTGCTCACTGCTAAGGAGTCCCACAATAGGACGAAACAGCCGTCGAGTGCTTCCAAGTTTTCCATGGTGGTTTAGCTTCAGTTGACTCATGATCTCAACCATTGAAATATATATTCCTCATTAGTGTACACCTCAAACCTCGTATTGGAAATTTGAATCCAGAGCTACTTTAATAGATTGTTCTTTGATACCATAACAGACGTCTATGATGGAATTATATTTATTACTGTTACCTTTCACTTCCTAGCAAAATAATTCAGTGTTTAATTCACATGAAAATATAAATGTAATTACCTGTAATTGAGAAGATATTTATCCATATTGTACTGTTGTGTGAGCTGAAATTAACAATGTGTCAAGATGTCACATGATGCACCTTATTCTAATTGTTAGTTCGTCAAAGTCAAGAACCTGGATTTTACACTAATTCGCATTTATCAACAAAGTATATCTAGAATTTTAAGGGCATTAATCCTCGTTTTGTGATTCCCATGAAAGTCATTTATTGTTAGTAACTAGTTTTTACTACTGATTTATTGCAGTTACAAATGATGACTTGCTGGACTGTTTTCCACATTAATCTCTTAGTAGTAGTAACCCATGTTATATTTCTCCAATGTATAGTAGTAATCAGATTCTATCAATCAATTTTTCATGTTGTCACAAGTTTGCGTAACACAATAACGGATTCTCACTTCATTTCATATATGTTATTTCTGTGTACAGTGATCTGAACATCATTAAGAATTCTTCCTGATTTATTAAATATAGATTTATGTACTTAACTTTGATCTGTCTTGCATATGTGATTTAAGCTGGCTTCTCAAATCTGCAATACATTGTTACGATGTTCAAACTTTGCTACCTCATTTGTTAAAATGTAAATATGGATTGAGATCTTGGACCGATTGATGTTAGACCACCGTTGAAAACCTGGAAGCACTCGACGGCCGTTTCGTCCTGTTGTGGGACTCATCAGCAGTGCGCATCCACGATCCCCCCTCAGGATTCGAACCCAGGGCCCTCAGTCTTGCGCGCAAACGCTTAGCCTACTAGACCACTGAGCCGGCATCCAACGGTGTTAATGTCCAAACTCAATCAATCCACGAAATTGCGCAATCATCTTCCATTGTACTGAGATAGATACCTGTCTCTACCCGACACGGATTAGCTCCACTGGTCATAGCTTCTCACTAGAGCTCCGAGAATTTTCTCACGAAGCTAGTCATTAGTGAGCACATAGCAATTATCAGTATAGGGTTGTGGAGATCTCCACAACCCTATACTGATAAAAATCCAAATGGTTTATGATCATGATATCAATCGTCCATTTCACAATCAGTGGGAGTGGTGTTTATTAAGTATTTTTTCTCACCTATATAAAAACTGTTACATTTTCTCAGTAGTTTTACAATTACGTAATTTGTTTTATTTGGATCTCGATTTGGACGTATGTGTATGTAACTGTAACAATTACCCATATTTTATCTTCTGTCTGTTATTTTGTCATTCATATGTCGTATATATATACATTCCATCACGTATACTTATCCATTAATGTGTAGAACGTAAATTGTATATACTATTAATTGTGGTTGTGGTTACTGTTTTCAGCTGTTCACAGTCGTCTATTTGAATACTGCCAGAGATAGGAGCCCTGTGAAATATCGTGTCTGACTGATTCGATTGATAATCTTATCCTCTTATTCATTATTTAGAAGTTGATGATAACTGATTAACAATAAAACTATTATTAGGAAAATGATTTTTACTACCTTTTTTTACTCTACCTCACTGTTACCATGTTGTTGGGGTTGTTAAATTCTTAGAGCTCACTTGGTAAATGCCTTATTTTTGTAATTCTATTTTAAAATCACCCACTTTCATCTTCATGTCGTATTTCTCATTTGAGAGGATCTAAAATGTTATTGGTTTGTTGTCTTTTAATATGCTATTTTGTAACGTTCCCTAAAGACATTTTTACACGGTATATATATACACTTGAGTTATGCTTATTGTTGTTGTTGTTGTTCGTGCTTCTGGCTGCTTGTGGAATACATTTCCCACTTTTAAGCCTGGAATTCTCTCTCTAGTTAACCAGGCTGGGACGCATCGGAATGGTTAGTTTATTGGTCATTGTGTCATTGAATCTTCGTTCCATTCGCAGATTAGTTGAACTCGTAATCTCTTCGAACACACCACATGTTTAACAGAAGTTTATTATCACTATTATTGTAATTATTATCATCCTGAAAAATATGTGTATATATTTAGGATTGTACAACATTGAAAATGAATTCCTCGGGAAGAGAACTCTTCTCTAAACCAATCTTTCTTATTTTAAGACATACTTTTGACAATGTTGCTTTCTTCTCACTTTTCACGTATTGTTTTCTCATCCGGAGGTGTACCTTTAAGTTCATATCTCTCCTTAATGAAATGTCCATTGTTACCTTGTCGAACAATGACTGAATGGTCTAGAGGTTAAGCATTCGTGGGTCGGGGTCGTAGATGCGCACGGCTGAGAAGCCTCATACTAAGATGAAACAGCTGTTCAAAGTTTCCATGGTAATCTAGCTTTAATTGACTCATTAATTCAACTATTTAATAGCCTAATGATTAAATAATTCAATCTTATTTTCTTCACAATCAAATCACTTTGCCATCACAAACATTTTCATTTAAAGTAAGATATATAATTGATTACTTTGTAAATTGTAGATTTTAAGCTCTTCTTTTTAACAGATAGTGACCATGGAATAACACATATGAAGTTCATCGTTTTGAATAGATTAAAGAAGAGATAATTTTTTTTTAAAAAAAACTAGTTATTTTTCTTTGAATCAATTATCATGATCTACTTTCATGGACTTATTGAAATCTTATTAGTTTCTTTCTTATCATTAGTACTACATTTTGTTTAATCCTTCTTAGCTTTGACTTTTATTAGTATTTCTCACGTTTATGTTTAATATTACATATCATAATGAATCTGTACTACTAATGAAGTAATAACGGTGTTATGTGTTAAGTTCTAAGTAGACATATTGATTTGGTTGATAAATTTGTGAAACTCTATTAGATGGTGTGGTTTTATTTTACATGTATGATGTATCGCTAACCTCCAGCTGGTCGATACTGATCAATGTTGTGTACTATATGACCTACTGATTCATCTGAATAGTTGAATATATTAGCCTATGTGTACCGTTGGTTTAGAATCAGGGTTTTCCAAATCCCCTAGGTAGATCCCCCATATCCACTAACTGGATTGAAGCGCCGGAGGTTCGCTTTTAGTCCTCTCAATTTCGTAAACAACCCCCTGGCTAACAGTAGGTAATGAGTAGGACTTCCCTGGCAGTAATTGGGTGTATACGCGTGGCCATATATGAGAGCATTAGGAGAGGGAGAGCTGACTCTCCCCAACCTCGGCCGTATTTGAGGGCTTAGATGTGAATGCTATGCTTCAATTGTGTTTCAGTGAGTAAGCATTGAACATGTGTTGCATTAGTAATACCTGAAACTAGTTCTCAATGCTGAAATAGTTGAAATAGGATTAAATACCATTTCTAAATTCCATTCTTATTAAATATGGAGAATAATATCGATTCAAAGTGGAGAGAAAAACAATGATTGTAGTTGCTATTCTATTACTACTACTGCGGATATCATCGCCTCAATAGTCTGAAGGTTAGGCTCTTTCTAGGGAGACTGTAGGTGCTACGTCCAATCTCTGATGAAGTCATTAACCTTCATTGCTGGGGAGTTCCGATACTAATTCGAAACAGCTACCCAGTACTTCCTGGTTTTCAATAGTTACCTAATGTAATTCAGCCTATT